TATCTTAGCTTCTAGTTACCCAGAGCTCACTATCGATGGTTTGTCTTGACTCTTCCGCCTTTTCAGATAACATTACTATAAATGTCACGGGCGATCTCTTTAACCACAGGCTTGATAGCAGGCCTGTTAGTGATAGCACTCGCATAGCCTAGTCAGCTAGCATTGCCAGCCAAGGCCCCCCGACATAGAGGGTGTTGCATAGGGAGAGTTCCATTTTAAAGCCCCCTGGAGCAAATTTGTGCTCTGTGCTATTGGGCTGTATAATTAAAACTGACTTTACTTTAGCGTGGGGGTTGAGGAACCTAAAGAAACAGTTGTGGAAAACGTTGGAGGGAGTTGGAGGGTTAATGTGCGGAGCTGGGCGTAAACAAGAGGGCTGGGCTCTGTTTGGGGTTCAGTATCTGATAAGAAGACAGATTAGGGGAGTGGTCACAACCTACAGACAATACAGGAACTCACAAATAACTGTTTGTGTTAGGAACGCAGTAGCACTGTTCCAGGACCTTCATATTACATATTATGGCCTGAGTGGATATTAGAGGGAACCTGAAGATTTCGATGGAAAGTCTTTACAAAAAGACTGTAGAAAATACAAACTCATGGGAGAGAACGCATTCCTCTTAAGATGCAAAATGGGTCTAACAAAGTCTTGGTCTCAGTCTGTGTCTTCCAAAGCCCTAAATTGTACATCGGTGGTCTCACGGTCGAATCCAGGACTGTTGTTGAGGATTAACAATCTCAGATTTCACCATGTTTCTCTCACGACTGTCAACTCCTATTTGAGACTGCCCAAAATTGCACATTCTAAAGGCCTCTGTGGGGAAAAAACATCAGGGACAGCATGAACGCGTTAAACGTGCCTGTGTTTTTGGTGAACGGTGAACTGAACGTATCCTTATGAATCCTTATGAACGTGCATGTAATAAGTGCTCAGTTTAAACTACTGAAATAACAGAAAGGAGTACACATTATGAAGAAAGGCAGGAAACAATACCAGGAGGAAATGAAGTTTAACTTTAATTCAGTTATTACATCTGCACACCACTGAAGAGAGATGAAAACAGAACAGTGGAAAGCCTGCTCACTAAGTAAATGATGATCACAAGAAAACATTAACAAAGGCAGAAAAGTTCAAAAGGCGGAAAAGTCAAAGTTCTGTCACCCAAGTCAAACTGTGAATTGTTAATTAATTAATGTTAATTGAACTGAACTTTGAGCTAGCTGGTGACAGCATAATGTAATGGAGATGGAATGAGTACTTTTGTGTTTTAGTATTGTGCTTAAATTAAAGAATTGTAAATATACATATATATATAATGGTTAAAAAAACCCAGCCCAATCTATAATAACTCTATGGTTATTTACCAGGCAGCTGTAGCTCAAGTGGGGGAGCGGGTTGTTCATTAATCATATATTAAACTGATGTTAAAATTATGTGGATTTCACCTTTAAAGTCTATGCAACAAAATAAGAAGGTTTCATGCTTACTCAATGAGCGGAGTGAGGACAACAGCACTGTGCTCACCGCTGGCCAGAAACTATTACGCAAAACAGTCATATAGGATCATAGGCTGCTGTAATATAACCTCTGGCCACCAGTGGTCATGATGACATATATGATGTCTGATATTCTTAAGTTTCAAGCGGCTGAATCATGTATATTTGTGGGTGCAGAGACAGATAAAGTGCCTCTTCAGGTTTATGCGGTATATGAGTTTGTGCAGAGACAAGAGAGCATTTTTATAAAGGTCAGGACTCAGATGTGATGGTCACTGAGGAATTCTTGGTCAGCTGACTCATAGGGGTAGAGGTTGGGGGATGGTACAGTGCAGGAGAGGATAGTGCATGGGAATGTGTCGGTGTGTGTGCATTTTGGTATGCGGTGAGCAGCAGGGGTAATAGTGTTTTGCTTTACAGTCACAGGGACAGGTTAGCTGTGGTATGTAATTAAGGCCATGGGTGTTTTAGTCACAGACGTAAAGCACCACAGTTACCAGGAAATGCATTTTCATCACAGGCTTCATGTTAAGTAGCAGAGAGGAGAGCTTGTTTTGGAGCAAACAGAAGACCAGTGATTTGGTCATGGGTGGAAAGGGCAGAGGTCAGAGGTCACACCGAGGCAGCAGGGGAATTAGAAAGTTGAGCTGTTCAGAGGTTCTTTGAGAGGCGAGCACCTTTGTTTAGCGGGCAGATTTATTTTGGGAAGCAGGCAGAGGGGGAGAACAAAAAAAGCTCAACTTTTTCTATACAGAAAAAATAAATAAATTACCCTGCACCTCTCTTGTTTCCTGAGAGCGGGTGATCCTCATAGTCCTCTTGTGTTTATACAGCTTTGCCCTCCGGCTCCCACGAGATGTCTCATCATTAGAAGTTTATGCGATGGAAGATATTCTATGTTCATACATAATGCATCATATAGCGTGTCTTATATAAGACAAGTTGGAGACGATCCACTCCCACAGCTCCTCTCTCAGCGCAGAAAACACGGGCGCTCAGAGGAGGTTCAGCCTACACACGAACGCTGACGAACATACGCTTTTGAAGGCATCACAGGCACATACCTCTCTAACTGCACGCAGGGAAACAATAACATATTGATATGCAAAAGCCCACATAACGGGTCACATGCAAGAATCTATAATGTGAAGCACAAGCAATATCTACACAGCTGCCAAACTAATGCTCTCCCTTACATAAACACACATGGGGATATGAAATGTCAGAGGGATGTCGTGCACAGGGCTCAGAGGAGATCAGAGGGAGAGCACCACGGTATTTTTTTTCATTTACTGGGAATAAGGAAGAGCTCTGTGTTGAGGGGAAGTCAGAAGGTCAGAGGGACAAACCTTAAGAGGAGTCATGTGCAACATACAAGCTCGAGTCTATGTGTACCAGTGACTAGTCATACACTAATGACAGTGAAAGTGTCAGAGCTGCTGGATTACTGTACTATGTGAGAGTGCATTTAAATAGAGAGTGACAATGTCAATGTATTTGAGTAGGAGGAAAAAATTTCCTCATCGCGTTCTACGAGGTTAAGGCGTAGGTCGAGTGCATCCTGTTGTGTTGCAGCAGACCACCAGTGGAAAATCGGTCAAATGTACAAACATAATGTATGTATGCCATAATAGAGCCTTGAAATCTCTCACATTCACACTCTCCAACAATACACACAGTGTGTAATTTTAAGACATTTTCTCATGTCTGTAATATAAATTATGTCATTTAATTCAATTCCTTATTTGAAATGGACCACACTTACACTGATTGTACACTCAAGAGATGAATACTAACTATATATTATATATAAATACTGCTAATAATAACCCACACAGTACAAGCAGGTGGTTACATTGCTGACTATGTAAACAGACGAGAAGGAGACAGGCCTCTGATGTATATATTTAGTCTACTGTATTGCCGAAGCACAACTTGAAACACAACAAATACTGCACATACTGTACTACAAAACACAGGATGCACAGGCTGAATTAATGAGGCAATGGCGCCCTCTGCCTGTCAACTTAAAGACACCTGGTTTCTTGTAAAACATGTAACTGAAGTGATGAGACACGAACCATTGAGATTTTCTTACCTATCAGAACAAGCAGAGAAAGATGTGTGAGACATTTCATAAAAAGGTTGTGTTAATGTGTATAATCTTGCAATAACAGTTCATTATTCAATTGCTGAATGTCTGCTGAAGTTCTAACATATAATAAGTAAGAACATATATCCATAACAGTATAGGTAGCCCCTATTTTATGGATTCATTTCTGAATTATTTCTTGTACAATAGACAGATTTTGCAAGACAACATTTTTTTCTTATTAGTAACAAATTCATAAAGGCAGGGCTCTTTCACTTCCAGGCCTGTTGGAGGGATTCAGATTAAAAAAAGGCAAAAGGACAGACTTAAATAAAGGTGCTACGGGTGCAACAGAAGAAGCTATATTCACTGTCTTTACAACAGAATAAGACAGTGGAAGTAGCTCAGTGTTGTACACATTCTGCACTCATTTCCCATTCATGTATCCAGAGCTTGGAGCATTACAAATGTCAAAGCAGGAGGCATCAGAGAAAGGAAGCAGTGTGTTTTTGGAATGGCATCTCGTCCTCCAGTAAATAAAAAATCTGCCCCACTTTTTGAGAATTATATGTGGATTTTCTGTTTGAATGCAGACACAGCATACAGGCTTTATAGCTTCAGTTTTCTTGAGACTGTCACAGAGGCACTTATGTATGTGTCACCCACATGTGTTATGTTTTTTTTAAGAATTTGTGAAAAACAAACAAAAAAAAAAAACTTAATAGCAACACCTGCTATCTGCACTAACACCTTCAACACGACTGCAGCTTCCAACACTTGGAGGTCATTCTAATGTGCTGTATGCACCCACTACAGTCCTTTATATATATATATATTATAT